TTCAAAGGACTTATTTGAGATGATAAACCCTACGTGCCCACTCTCAGGAATAATCCCTCTGGTTTGTTCCTCCTTTCTTTCACAGGAGTGAAAACACTCCCAGTTTTTATAACCATTTTCTGTTTGATTTCTGCGCCACAGTCGGTACCAGCTCCTCACTCACAGCCCTGCTCCACGCAGGAACCCAGCACGGAGTTTGCTTTGTCTGGCATTACATGGGAATCTCAAAAAATAAATCTGGTTTGCCTTTCAGGCCGGTGCCCCTCCTCATGGTTTCRCTTCAAGGAAATCCTTCTCTGAGTGTTTTCCAGAAAACCTGCAACACCTCCTGCCTTTYTGCGAAGCTGAGAGCATCTGGGGTTCAATACACCCTTAATGGATCCAAGCCTGTGCCATAAAGAAATCGTTTGTTTTGCATTAAACAACATCACACAGGCGCTTCTGTTCCGGGGGGAGGTCGGAGTTCGTCCCCAGAGCTCTGGCAATCTGTGGTGAACCCTTCCCACGATGTTCAGTAGGAAATCACCCCCTAAATCAGGTTCAGGGCATTGTTTTTTTTCCCTTTTTCCATCATTTGGGGGGAGCTGTGATGATTCCTCACTCAACRCTGCTCCACCTCCACGGAGCGAGGCCGGAGCGCTCCCTGATCTCAAAACTCACAAATTCTGTGGTGCCACCCAGGACTCGCTGCACGTTCCCATGAGCTCCTTCCACATTCCCAGAGGATAAGGGACACCACACGGCCCCAATTTGTTTTAAAAACTCCCAACTGTTTGCAGCTTCAGCAGCTCATCCTCCTCCCTRCCACGGCTCCCTCGGCGCCGCTGGCGTCTCGAGACAGGGAGGGATCAAAAACACCTTTGATGATCTGGGCTGTCGTGATGAGAARGAGGTTTTTTCAGTCAACTGGGTCACACTTCACGGATTCGATCAGATTAAAAAGCACTTCCCCTGCACTTAGTGCGCAAGAACGCGTTATTTAAAAAGCCATTCTGAACTTCCGGCTGCGCATCTCGATGAACTCCAATTTCCCTTGGGATAATTCCTAAGTGGAAACTGATCTCAGCAAGAAATCGATCATTGGCCATTTACAAACGAAATCAAATCCTGTTGGAGTGCAATTATAGCTGTGAAATTGCCCAGCCCTCTTTCTGTTCTGACACAAGACCCTCCGTGCAGTTTATAGGACAGTGGATAAATCCCGGTTTACCATCAGCTGGTTTCTGGTTCATCGGATTCTGATGGTTACAACAACCACCAAGGGCCAGCAGGGCTCATCTGGGAACAACAACGCAAACCCAGGAATGGCATTCCATGATTTCCACCAGGAACCAGGGCTAAAATCACTGGTGTTCATCAAACCTCGTTGGTCTGGAGAGATTTGTGTCTTCCCTCYGACAGAACAGCCAGAAATGATTGGTTTTGGTGGTTCTGGAGATACCCTGAGATAGAGGAGCTGCTGCCCGTTGAGGGGAGGATTAGAGGACGAATTTCCAAAAGGAGAGGTGGCCATTCCTGCTGCTCTCCTGGCTCTGGTCTCCTCCATCTGGACCAGCTGGTGCCTGGCACATCTCACCCACCCCCAGCCGGGGCGCGGAGCTCGGTCACAKCGCTCCCCACAACGCTGGAACCACTTCCAGGAGAAATCAGAGCTGCCAGGAGCTCTGTGCCAACCAATCCCAACCGCATCAGCTCCTGGGAAAGCCCAGGGAAAATGTGGGTCMCAGATTTCCCAGGTCCACTCGCATCACTGTCACCACCRTGCCAGCYCCAGAYCTTCTCCTGGTCCTTCCTCCATGGGGACATGAGGAAGAGGATGTCCAGATCCTCCCCAGCAGCAGATTCCAGACTCCCACTCACAGAGATGCAGCTCTTTTCCATGATTTCCACGTTGCATTGGCACCTCGCACTGGTAAATATTATTAATTTGTATTTAGGGTGAATTTGATAYCACTCCTGTATAAAACTGTGCCTGGAGGGAATCACCGCC